TATGTATGTATGTGTATATATAACAATATATGGTAAGGTAATGGTACCATTATCGGGATTTTATTGTAACATTTTTACAGTGCACACCATAAATCATCACCGACTCTCATGCTGCTGTTTTCCCACAATGCTCTGTATGCTCTGGACTGCTTCATAACACCTGTTCTGGCCAAACACAGCTCTTTGGCTGCAGAGTGCACAATGAAGAATAGTAATTACTGCGGCCCCTTTCACACACACACTTTATCCTGTCATAGGTTTTAGTGATTTGCCCTGAGCACAGTCAAACCACTGGCATATCTGCCCTGCAACACAGCTCCGTGTCTCTCTGTAATGGTCTTCTAGTATTGTTCCCGGCAATTTAGGCTGGCGCTTGAAGTAGAGTATAATAAATAGAGAGAAAAAGAGAAATTGTTAGGGAAATATATTTACTTTGTTTTTAACTCTTTGACGCATGGCATCTATCACTTACTTCAGGGTTTAATGTGACTGTGACTGATGTTAATTAATCTGTGACTGATGTTTTCATATGTCCCAGTGATTGTCCGAAATCACATACTCTCTGAGTAGGTACTTCTTTTGAATTGAGTAATAAAGTAATAGTAATTACTTTATGACATTACGTTAAATACTATATTTTGCTTACTATATAGCAGGGAAGTGTGTGACTTTGGATGCAGCCTGTGAATTCAGGCATACTACTCTTTTCACATACTGTTTTTCACCTACTATATAGAAGGGAAGTATGTGATTTTGGATACAGCCTGTGAATTTATACATAGCTACTCTTCACATACTGTTTTCGCCTACTGTATAGTAGGGAAGATTGTGATTTTGGATGCAGCCTATGAATTCAGCCATATTTCTCTTTTCTCATATTGTTTTCAGATATAGTAGGGAATTAGGCGATTTCGGATACAGCCTCTGAATTTGGACATACTTCTCTTTTTACATACTGTTTTTCACCTACTAGAAGGGAAGTATGTGATTTTGGATGCAGCCTGTGAGTTTGTACATACTACTCTTCGCCTATTGTTTTTGCCTATTGTATATTAGTAAAGTATGCAATTTCAGATGCAGCCTGTGAATTCGGACATACAGTACTTCTCTTTTCACATGCTGTTTTTCATCTGCTATATAGTACGGAAGTATGCAATTTTAGATGCAACCTGTGAGTTTGTACATACTACTCTTCGCATACTGTTTTCGCCTACTGTATAGTAGTGAAGTATGCGATTTTGGATGCAGCCTGTGAATTCAGACACACTACTCTTTTCACATACTCTTTTTCACCTACTAGCAGGGAAGTATGTGATTTTGAATGCAGCCTGTGAGTTTGTACATACTACTCTTCGCATACTGTTTTTGCCTATTGTATATTAGTGAAGAATGCTATTTTAGATGCAGCCTGTGAATTCGGACATACAGTACTTCTCTTTTCACATGCTGTTTTTCATCTACTATATATAGTACGGAAGTATGCAATTTTAGATGCAGCCTGTGAGTTTGTACATATTACTCTTCACATACTGTTTTTCACCTAGTAGGGAAGTATGCGATTTCAGATGTAGCCTGTGTTTTTATTTTATGACAAAGAATTGGCTGACAAACGTGATAATGCACAAAGTACCTCTGAAATACTGTCTTTTTATTGCTGTGGCCAGATGTGTAACTCTCTTAAAATGAATCATTTTGGCAGAGAAAAATATTGGTAATGATTATAGTCTTGTTTTGAAGTAAAGGATCACTAAGAATATTTTACTTTGCGATTAAACAATTCATGCATCAAAGCGGTTAAACTAATACAGTGAGTCAAAACCTAAATGATGAGGACAGTCATTACCCATCTGAGTCATTGCATCTCTGATGGTTTCATTAAGCTTTGAAATATGCAGCGTTTTTCCTCATCTGAACCATGAAAACACAGTTGTTTTATTGAAACTAAATGTTCTGGTCAAATCACGGCTATGAATTTTGATGCCAGTCAGAGGGCCAAGTTCAGTTATTGCATGTGGTTCTCATTAAACTCAGCAAATGGGAATAAAATAAGCCTGTTTCAGCGCTCGGATGTACAGGTGGTGAGGGAGACATCTGTCTAGTGATGGAGTGTGTGCATTTATATTATACCGAAGTGGACTTGTTCTGGCCTGTGCATTGCAATCAATGATGTTTCGAAAAAAAGAACATGCTTTTACACGTAAATTAGAAGTGATTTTCTAGAAATGTTGACTGACAGTCTGAACACAGTGTAACCATAAAAATATTTCTTCATCTCTATAATTTGATTGTGTTTTACAGCCACGAATGCAGTTTTATATAACCAAATAATGCTTGTAAGGCAGCCACAAAACATACTATACGAGACGCCTCATTGAGGGTGTCTAGTCAGCATTGACTTGTTGGACGACATCTGAAAAGAAAGTCAAAAAGCATTCCTTGTACTCTGCCTTACTCCTTTGATTCCCGACAGCCATTGATTCCTTGTTTATTTTTCGTTCTTATGTTCAGACAGACCAAATGACAAGGAAAAAGCACATTTGCAGCATGTTTTTTTTTTCTGCAAAGAGCACAAATGTGTCATGCTAGCTTATGATTAAAGCAGCATTAGTGTGCATTATACCTCCCAGGGTGCCGTGCAGTAGCTTTAGATGTTCCCGTATCCTCTGCCATGCTAAAAGATGTTTGCTTTAGCATCGTTTTTAGGAGCATTACAAGGATTTGTTAACCATTACAGAGAAATTCAAGACTAAGACGACATGGCCACGGTCTGCAGTTTTTTTTGTTTTTTTTTGGCTGTACTCAGGCTGATTGTGTTTCGCAGCTTGGCCTCTGATACGTACAACGAAGAGTCTTGGATCTCTTTTAATCGTGCCGCGAACTGGAAATAACCCTTTTCCTTTCGTCATATACATGATTAGATATCTCCATGGCACATAACACAAGATCCTTCTTAATTACACGTCCGACTGGAGCTGTCATTGTGTCATATGAATGGACGTGGTATTGCTCACGCTGATCAAAGCATATTAAGGGCCAATTTATTCAGCGATGTTGCACTAACATAGTGGAAGTACGTGATCCAGATCTCCAGTCAGGATGAATAACTGTGTGTAAATGAAAGAGACTATGTTACTGATTGTATAGAATTAAAAATGATTTAAATGAATTAACTCACTTGTAACAAATATGCATACTAAAATGACAAGTGGTCATTTAGCAGACCCTTTTATTCAGAACCACTTACTATAGACTTGTCATTGTCGCGATAGTGAAAATTCATAACTGAGGAGAAACAACTCACATTTTATTTTAATAGTTTGGTGCAGTTTTTTATAGTGTTTATCAATATTTTGAATTATCTTTATTTTATTTTACAGAGTATTATCATTATTTATTTACTGATAATATTTGAATGATGTTTTATTTTAATTTTATATCTTTTTTGTTTTCAGTTTTCATTTTCATTTTAGTTTTAATAATTTTGTTATTTGCTTTTGTTATTTTTATATTAATTGTTGTTTATTTATTTATTTATTTTAGTTTTAGTAATTAAAGTTCTTCGACCTAAACTTATTTTATTTCAGTTAGTTGCCATAGGCAGTGTTTATTTACTGTTAATTAATTTTCATTACATTTTTTGAGTTTTTAATCTAATATTTATTTTTTTATAAAAAAAAAAATGATTTTTAATATTTTTAATTTTAATAGTTTTTGTTAACAAACATACTCTAATACTTTAATAAACAAAAGTATAGATGAATATTGGGTAAAACAATACCTTTATCAATACAATGATGTGTTGAATGAAGTAAGCAATTTAGTGGTCGACCGATATTTGGCATTTTTTAAATATAGGCATCGGCCGATAAGTTTTCCTGTTTGGCCGATGCGTTCAAGACTTTTATTTTGACGGTGCGACAGACTTTTATTTTGACGGCACTGAGAACGGCAGCGCCTGGGCACACAGTGCTCACATTTTCCCTCTTGTTCGCTGTTGTCGTTAACAGTTTTGTCTAAATACGGATAAAAGTCTGTCTAATAGTCAGCTTCACTGGAGATGCGCGATCGACAAACTTTAAACTCGTGATTTTAAATTATGCTGCGCTTTATGCATTTTCCCACTGTCATATTCATGTCATTTTCATTGTGTGCTGTATGTAAAATTAGTGTTACCTTGGCTTTATTTGAAAAAATATGATTAATGCACACAAACTTCCCAGAATACCGAGTGCCCTCTTGGTTACAGTGTTTACTTCCTTTTTAATTATATTTTTATTAAATATTTATTTATATGTGAAAATACTTTGTCATCTAAGTATAAGTGTGTTTATTTATACATTTATTTTTACATTTATATATAACACATTTATTTTTTAATAAATGTTCAAATTATTTCAAATTTCTTAAATATTAATTCAAATACATCAAATTATATCGGCTTTATATCGGCCATTGGCCACCCTGCTTTCCAAGATATCGGCATTGGCATCGGCTGTCAAAAGAACAATATCGGTCGACCACTAGTAAGTATATTGTAATGTAAGCTTTGTTATAGTCAACATTCTTTTAGATTTTTGCATTGAGCTTGTTGCAGTGCGTTATTGGATTGGTTTCTCTGCAAATAATATTCGTGCCAGTGATGTCTTAAAGAGATACTTCACCCAAAAATGAGGAAGAGTAAATGATGACAAAAGTGTCATGGGTCTGTTAACTAAGTTTGAAACATAGCATACCAGAAATAGTCTTTTCTGATCTGTTTTTCACCATCTGTCAACCTTGCTCTCTTTTCTGTGTTTTTTTTATGCCAGTCTTCCTCCCCAGAGCACTCAGATGTTTTATTTCTTTGGCCAGTGATGATGATGAGTTTCCTCTGGTCACTTCTCTAACGCACCTTCTCTTGCTTTCCTCGTCTATGCATGAGTGAATTCAAGAAGGGTTGTTTTGTCCCTAGAGCTTTTTTGTCTCTTTGTCCTGATTATCTCCCTCTTCTTCCTCTCCAGGAAGTTCCTGTCATAGCAACACACTCCCTGCATTGGTTCGGACTCCTTCTCTAATGATGCAGTCCGGTCTGGACATGAAGCCCTTCATGACCTTCCCCGTGGAGAGCTCCTCTCCGGTCGGCCTGTTCCCTAATTTCAATACGGTAAGCAAGCCTGCTTTCATCTCCCTGCTCTTGGCCGTCTGCCCCTTTAATGTTGGCCTCGTTCCTGTGTGTGTTGACACTGATGGAATTAAAACCTTCTCTGAAGGTTCACAAAAAAACATGGAGTGAGGAGGGATAATGTTTTATGTTACGTGTATATCGTCCTTCACAAACTGCAGCGTGTGTGGTTGTTTGGAAGAGGGTCCGATAATTGCATGCTAGCGGCGATTTAGAATGGCATACCACACTGAAGGCTCGCCCCAAAAATGAGCCATGAGGTTAGCAGACAGCAGGGAAAAAATAATGCTGAATGCAAATAACAAAATGCAACTAGCCATATAATCCTGCATAGTTAGGGCAGCAAAATAAATTGGCTGTTTAAAAGGTAATTAGCAATTTTGTGGCTTGCAGAAACCTAGAACTTTGCCAAATTAGGCAGATGCCAACATGGACAGGTGGTGCGACATGACCTCATCAAAAAACTAAGTAAGGTAGAGAAATATTTTTTTTTACCCAGACTGGTAAATCAATCTTTTTTTTTTTTTTAGCAATGGCTCATTAAATTGATCAAAAATGACATTAAATACATTTATAATGTTACAAAAGATAAGTGCTAGTCTTTTGAACTTTCTATTCATCAAAGAAAAATATTAAGCAGCACAGCTGTTTTTAACATTGATAATAATTAGAAATGTTTCTTGAGCAGCAAATAAGCATATTGACTGATTTCTGAAGCATCGTGTGAGATTTGAAGATTTGAGTAATGATGCTAAAAATTCAGCTTTGCATCTCAGGAATAAATTATGTTTTAAAATATATTATTATAAAAAAAGACAATTATTTTAATTTGTAATAATAATTCACAGTATTCCTGTTTTTATTGTGTTTTTGATCAAATGAACACAGCCTTGGTGAGACTTCTTTAAAAAACTTTGAAAAAAAAAATATATATTTTTTTACTGCCCCCAAACTTTTGAAAAGTTTTGCAACTGTTCACTTGCAGCTGGGATAAACTAGGTGTCACGTTGCATACACACGAGGAACGAGGAGACGCTGGAGAATACGTTTAACAGGACTTTATTACCACCAAGGAACCAAGGGAGACGAACTCAGGAAGACGTTTACACGAAGACGTTCAACAGCGGACAGAGAACTAGGGACTGGGAACACTTTAAATACACACACGAGGAGGAGGGGATGACGAGACACACCTGGGATCCATGAACCATCATGGGGAACACCTGGGACAAATTAAACATGGGAAAGGAACACCTGGGGAGCAAGACACAGACAAAACATGGAACAGAGTCTGACACTAGGATGGTTTCTGCCAGCCACATGTTGTTTTTGTGGTGGATTATTGACTGCCTAGAGCATAAAACCACATGTTATTAATTTAGTATATTGTTGGGTCTATGAAGTTTGTGGCAACATTAATAAATTTAAGTGTGAATTCAACAGGAATTGTTTTTTTTTCACTTACTTCACTTCTGGATCAGCTGGATGTTTGTTTGAACATCCTTAAACTCTTTGTATTCCTAGCAGACCATAGGCAAGACATTAAAAAGGCATTGCTGACAAGTTTGTCATTTTTGCTCACTGTTCGATGCTGTTTCGGTTTTTATTTTCAGCCTTTTGTTCTTGTAGCCTTGATATTAAAACAGTAGCAATATTAGATGTTCAGTTTATTATATCACAGTTAATGGCAATATGACTTTTTTTTTCAAGATATGCAGCCCTAGTATGCAGTATGTTCCATTCTGAACGTCGCCAGTGTGTGTTTGAGTGAAAGTCTACAGCCGTGTCGACCCCTCACGCATTGATTCCAGCCCCTGATCCAACCCCCAAAATGAGAGGGAGCTAAATCCATTTGTGCTTTTATCTCCCCAAATCCAGACTGCTGTGGTGATGGCAATGAAGGGAGACAGAGAGAGAGGCTCATGGGATCTGAACTAGAAAGAAAATCATTCTGAATTTGGGGCTTGTTTAACTGTCGTGGTTTTATTGTGCGGCTCAAAACCTTTCTCCTTCTTTCTTTTCACTTTCTTGTCTCTCTTCTCACTCTCCGCAATGCACTGTCCTGCCGTGACTCAAAGTGACAGTGCTCTTTAAAGTGGTTAGTAAAGGCCAAGCCTGGGGTCAGCGTGACACAAGGATGGTGTGGCATTCAGAACATTATTTTTAAGCCTTGTTTAAACATAAAAGTTTACAAATTTGAAGTAGGGTTAATAGATTGTAAATATGTTAGAAATACATTACAAATTGTATACAATCACTTATCTAAAGGGATTTAACATATATAACAGAAATTAATATGTCTGTCTATCTATCTATCTATCTATCTATCTATCTATCTATCTATCTATCTATCTATCCATACACAAACACACAAATGAAATTCAATAAATTCTGCTTCCTGTTCCTCAAATTCCAGTTCATCTGTGGTGTTGCTAATTCAGTTCTAATTCCAGTTTATGAGTTAAAAGTAAGTAAATTCTTAAATTCTCACTGATCTGTCTTCAGTTGACCGCACTGTTTTTATGGCCCAGCACCCAAAGGATTGAACTAAAAATAAACAAATAAACACTGCAGAAGCTGTCATAATTACTGCTTGACTGTTAGTGCAAATCAAGAGGTTCTCCGGTCTGCAATCACACCACTGCAAAATTAGCATAATTATACCGTCTTCCTACAAGGCCATCAAATGAATTATTTTCTCCTAATGAAACTAATCACAGTAGTCTCTGTTGAGCTTCCCGGGAATGGCATAGGCTAATTTTAGTTAGTGATGCACAGGATTTGTGGGTAGTTTCGAGGTTTCGCTTGATTAGTGCTGTTGTTTGTTTGTCCCTTATACTGAACTTACCTCTTGTTATGGTGACTCCCCTCCAATCAGCATCTGAGGTGCTCAGTTGGGTTATTTCTACTATGCAGTACATTTCCACCTGTCTATCCTATGTCTTAATATCTTGAATAAAACATTAAACTCAATTTTAAGATTGAAATTATATTATTTTTTGCATCAAAATATCACACAGTGAGCATAGAAGTGAATTTTAAACAATGTCACCAGTTTGGTTTAAGCATATATTACAATTTACCTAAGTGAATCAGTTTTTGAAACTGAATTGAAATATTTCAAACAAAGCATCTTTTCTTGGTAATATCCCTTATGAAAATTAACCATGGTTTTATTATGGTAATAGTGTAGTAACCATGTGTTTTGGCTTATTGATTACCATTTGTATAACAGTTTCACTACAAATACCATGGTTACGGTTAGGGTAGCAAAACCGTGGTTAATTTGTATTTACCATGGTTCAAATGGCAAGTTCTGCCATGAAACTCTAGATGGCGCAGGCTGATGGGTCATTAACGTAAACTGATGATATTCACAGCGTTAAACTACTTGGCACAAGCTGATTGGTTCATGTTGCATGCACTTGTAGCCAATGAGCTTACTGCTTTACATTTAAATGGCTGGTTAGCATTCACTAGAGTTCCTCTGAAACCCTCCACCTTCCCCAGCTCCACTTGTTTAGATACAACAGCAATAACCAACAGCAACAGCAGCGAAGCAGATCTATTCCTCCTAGACCAAATACATTACCATTGTCATATCCATTACCATGCTAAAATCTTCTGAGAGTTGACATGATAGAACTGTAATAACTATGATTTTTTGGGGGGTCTTTTTTGTAGTAAAACCATGGCTAATTTTTGTAAGGGATTGTTTTAACTGATAACCAAATTATAGGGTTTTGTCCTCAGTTTCACTTCACATCCTGATAGTCTTTTGTAATTTCTTTTGACATAAAAAAGCCACTTAATGACATCATGTTTCAGGAAGTGACATTATTTTAGAAGTAAAACAACGGCTCAAGCTCCAGTGAGTATTTGAAATGTGATGCATTTTGTGATATTTTGTGCTATTATTGGATTTGTTTGATCCTTTTTGATTAAATGACAGATACTGGTATGATATAATTTTGAAATTAAAAAAATATTAAAATGAACTTCAAGTTGAATCTCTGTTTTATCACAACATTAGCTCTTTATTTATGCCCTGTTAGGAATCATGTTCTTTTTCCAGCCATTGAGTAAACAGTCACATTTACATTTCTCAGCTTGAGCAGGGTATATTTCTGAAAGTTTGGTATATCTTTTTTTTTTTTTGTAGAAATATTTCTTTAAATTATAGTATAAATATATTTTACCAAGTTTTGAAAGTACTGCATAACAGGCATGTCTCAACCAAAAGATTTAGAGGAAAGAGAGCTGGCATTGTGTCATAATAACAAAGTGTTGTGCGTGTGTGTGCCCTGACATATGCCTCTCCTGGCACACCGTTAGAGCTGACTGTTTGTGGAACATCATGAGCAGTTGTCCTTATGTATAATTAGTGCTTCCTCCACTCCACATGGAGAGAAGCCTGCAAGTCCTCCCAAGCTGCTATTAACTTACTGAACATGCTATCTCAAAAAACACATTCTGCCTCTTGCAGATGATAACAATATGATGCACACTAGGGATGGGAATCATGAAGAACTTAATTCTTAATTAAAATTTTGTTTCCAAGTCCACTTAATGGTTCCACTGAAGATTCAGAAGCACCAAAAACTGATCCTAAATATTATTCAATTTACTATATTTTATTTATATACACTACTGTTCAAAAGTTTGTGGCATTATTGTTTTTGTTTTTTTAAAGAAATTAATACTTTTATTCAGCAGGGATGCATCAAATTAATAAAAAGTGTAAAAAATATTGATATAAATATTTAATATTGATATCAATATTTAGGTTTGTTTATACATTTATAATTTCCAATAAATTCTGTTCTTTTGAACTTTCTATTCTATACACACACACACACACACACACACTTGAAAATCATTGGTTTTGGCTATTAAAGCAGTTCATAATCATAACAACAGTATATGGAATCGGACTAATTTGTTTCATGATTTGTGAAATATATTGAATGAATCTCTGCGGT